AGTGCCGGCCTGCCCCCCCCCCCCCCCCACACACACACACCCACAAGAATACCAGCATGTTCACCTTTGGTTTAAGAAGCCATATTTTACTTTACTTCAGCATGAAAACCATCCAGTATTGTGAATGTCAACAGAGTGTCATTGTCATTTTTAGTAGGAGTTTTTTTTCTTGTTTAAGGCGCTAAAATCTAACCTTTTGCAAACCATTTATTGGAGCTGAATACCATGAACAAAAATCAACAGGCTACATAAACACTGGACTCTTTAAGAGCTGATTGTGTGCAAAATAGAACTGCATGATTCTGGATAAATTGAGATTTTTCTTTCCCCCAGAGGAAGCTGTGGTTCTCTCATGATTCTGAAGAAAAAAAAATTAGACAACTAAACAAAATCACATGTAATTTATGAATTAATGATTAAATGACTCGCGATCTTTAACGATCTATTAAATTAAAGTGCTTTGTCATGTTAGTGGTGACACCTCTCTTGCAACATGTTTAGCTATCACAGATATTATACTTAGCTTTTTTAGCTTCTGATCGCAAATGTAGCCAAACTTCGGAGTGCTTAGATTAGCGAGCAAGGTCCTAGCAGATCGCTAGGTCCGGTCCTCACAGACGAAGAAAAAAAGTGCATAGGAATCGATAGGCGGAATCGAAATTTTAATTTGACAAGTATCCGATTCTGGATACGGAATCGATTTTCGATTCCCAACCCTAATGAGGAACACACAGGTGGAGGTGAAAAGCTTTCATTACCCGAAACAAAGAAGAAAATCACTGGACTCTGGTCAGGAAACGGAGCCTGCACTGGACTCTGCTCTGGAGCCGATACCCCCTCTGGGCCAAACTTGAAATCAGAAGCCCTCTTTAGGAAAAACTTGGGAACTCCTCGGAGTGTGCCCGGCGAGAGCGGAGCATTTAACAGCGTGAAAAGTACAATCAGCCTTCTCTCTTTTTCCAGAGAGCTGACTCTGCGTGCTTTGCTCCCAAGCAGACAACACACAAACTGTGTGTGTCCCCACCTGAAATATAGCGCGGGCAGGGAGGAACACACAGCCTGAACGCTTTCTGCTCTCGACCAAATGCTTCTTTTTGGCTGAAGCTAGACATAATGGCCTTAAGTGGACAAACAACACTAAATAAGACTCACAACAAATAGCGACTGAAACGCACACAGAGCGCTTGCTGAATGACAAAAAGCTGAAGCCGGTTTCACCGCACGTGCTTTTATAGCTTCCTGGTCTCTACATCACCCGCCTGTGACTTCTCGCCCTTCCATTGGACTGATTTCACATGTGATTCAGAGTGTGGTCACGCTGAAGGCGTTCCCAAAGCATTTCGCTCGAGTTCCTGAAAGGGAACAACAAGGGCACTTGTCGGCTTCTGCAGTAAAACGTGAACTTGCGATGCCTTGAAAGTGGACAAATCCGGCTTTTTTGACAAAACGTGTTAGTTTTTGCAAATGAGCTCTTCATATATATATATATATATATATATATATATATATCTGTGTGTATGCATGTTTATGTACAACACACGCATGTTTATAGCCTATACATTGAAGCACATCGTTTGATCGCAGGTTTATCCGATAGTGGGCTTTCATGACCAGGAAATCTGCAATGCCTCAAAAGGAGCGATTCAGAATCACCTGCTAAAATATTCTGCTGTGAGCCGCATCCTGCAGCAGGTGAGCAGAAACTGAGCCAGAAACCGGAGTCTGTGCTGTCAAATGCACAGCAGAATTATGGGTAAAATAAAAAAATTAATGGCTTTCCAAATGTGAATAGAGAGGATTGTGACAATACAGTTCCACATTTGACCACCAGCTGGAAGCACCGCCTTGATCAACTTAAAATGTTGAAAACAAGTGTGCATATAGGCCTGTTAGATTGAGAATGTTTAAAACTATCCCCCCCCCCCACTTTTATAGGTTAAAATGTTAGCAATTTATGCTTGCAAATTAATCAGATTATACAAATGACATATTCTGTAGCTAGTATTCTCTATTACATTGACATTTTCTTATTCTCTTACAGCGTCAAACAATCGAGCTGGTTCCTCTCACTCATGTATATTACCTTTACAGTGGGAAAGACTATGATTACTTTGTTTTTGGGCAAGAAAACAAAGTTCACACCACCAAATACCCTTCTTCTTGCAGCATTTTGTAATAACTGAATTTGTTTTGTGTCTTAACCAATCTTGCAATAATTCATAATTTCCATAAGATGTAAATACAATACAGTGTATATTTATCATGTAATATATTGATTAACTGTAAATGTCTATGAAAACAAAGCTCCTTTCTCCTCATTCTCTCATGTAAGCATATAACAGCATGTTTTGAACAACTGTTTTATTATCATTACTTCATTCTGTTTATTAAATATACATATATTAGTATTAAGTATGAAAATTAATTTGAAAACAGTTTATTTTTGGTTAATTTTTGCCATAAAAGTACAGTTCATTTGCAACACATTTACAGATTTTCTTGATCAGTTTCTATATATTTTGATGATTGTATTTTGATAATTTGAAAGGACTTATGTGAATGTCTTTATATGTCTTAGTTTATACCTTAATGTTTTGGCAACTGAAAACATATTTTCCAGGAAAAATATACAGTTCCTTTTTACACGTTAATCAATTAACTCACTCTGTATGGGGTAAGTTGTCACAGCGGGAACCTGCTGTTTACCGACCCTGATTTGAGAAGGACCCTGAAATCTAAAGTTAATAAAGCTGCAACACTCCTAAAATTGCAACAATAAAAAAAATAACCAAAAAAAAAATTTTTTTTTTTAAGTCCAATGAATAAATTGAGAAAAAGACGGCCCACATAAACGAGCCAAAATGCTTTACATGTCTTGAAATAATCATTTCCAAACATTGACTGTCAGTCTTTATTCATCCATTTCTCGTTGTTACTCTTTAAAATTAATTAAAGTAAATAGTGTAAATTACATCGCTAATGTTATAGAATAGCACATTGTAACGCATTGTAATGTGCCCCATCTGCTCAACTGGAGATTAAAACCAGGTGCTGTCTTCTGATAGTTAGCGAAGCTAATCTAAACTGATAAATAACAGATTGAAGTTTAAAATAATAGCAGATTTGTCTAATTTTAAATGATTAATAAAAACAGAGATGAAAAATTTACTTAAGCCAGAATTTTAATTTTACTATGGTTTTACTAAAATTTTGGCACACTTTTTTTCTATGGTAACTAATAAATACTGTACATTTTGTTATGCTAGCATGTGTGGAAATATTCAAACCATGTGTGTTACAACTAACCCCGCGCTCCCCTACATCTATTGTGTTCTCTCTACATTTACATAGAGATCAAATACTGAGGCAGACCTAAGGGTTTCTGAACCATGGTTTGATTACCGTAAAAGTGGAGTAACCATGTTTTTTTTGGCGTATTGATTACCATTTGTATCACCACAGTTTTACTTCAAATACCATGGTTAAAGTATGGTTAGTGTAGCAAAACCATGGTTAATTTGTGGATACCATGGTTTAACTATAGCCTATACCCTGAAAGCACACATACATCTCGGTGAAGTCTGCATTTACATCTGCAAAACGTATTTTTAGAGTGTTTGCTGCAATACGTCTAAAGGACGTTTCCTTTAAGATGTCAAAAAGACGTCTTTAAGATGTTTACGATTTAGAATGTATGTAAAACTGACATCTGAAAGACGTATTTTTAGAGTGTTTGCTCATCTGCAATACGTCTAAAGGACGTTTCCTTTAAGATGTCAAAAAGACGTCTTTAAGATGTTTACGATTTAGAATGTATGTAAAACTGACATCTGAAAGATGGTGCTAACTGATCAACAATCGCAGGTACAATCTACTAACAAAGTGTATCATAAATGAACAATTATTCAATTATCAAATTATTCAATTATTATTATCATTATTAAATTGAACAATTGCAAATAGCAGCTAACTCAATTCTCGTGATGTGTGTACTGCTAGGCATCTGTGGTTTCCTCTTTTTGTGTCATTTGGATGGACAATGTGTGCCTTTTTATTGTCTGAGTCCTTATCAAAAGTTGCTAAAAGTTGCCAAATAAATGTTTAAAATTGCTCAATTTGTTGCTAGGTGCTTTTGGAAGAAAAAGTTGCTAGGGTAGTCTGAAAAGTTGCTAAATTTAGCAACAAAATTGCTAAGTTGGCAACACTGGTAGCCATGTGTTTTTTTTAATAATTTTAAAAAATTTTTATATGTCTAGTAAAACCATGGTTAATTTTCGTAAGGGTTGAGATCCAACTGACGTGTTTATTCAATTGATTCCTTATATTTTGCTCACTTGGTCTAAAAAAGTCTAACATTTCAACCTTCATAAAACCTCAGAAATCCTGTAAATATACTGCACATGCGACAACTAGACCCTGTAGTAAAATAATGGCAGTATATCGCTTAACTTTCGGCTTTGAAGAGGACAGTGTTCCATCAAACGGAGACTCTCCGCGATTCCTCGGATGTTGCACTGACCTGTTGCCGGCGGCTAAACAGCACACCTGCCTAAGCATCAGTCACAGAGTGGGTCATCATTATAACACTGGACGGATATGACAGGAGTGAAGCGGGAGTGGAGGAGTGGCTCTCTGAGAGTTTGTTTATAGTGAAGGAGGCGCGGAAAACACACGCGACTCGCTGCGCATCTTCACACGACTCACCTCACCGACATTACGACAGAAACTGGGATAAAACCAGCAGCTACGAGGAAAACGACGCGGAAATAACACTCGGTAGGTTTTCAATTGTTGTTTGTGGTTATTCTGTCAACTTTAACCATGGTAACTTACAGTATAGTGATGTAAGATGACAATACCATGGTATTTTGATATAGCCAAGTTTATAACAGATACTCATAAGTCATAATATGTATATGATATGTAGGAGTTCTTCAAAAAATACCATGTTTCACTACGGTAGGCTATATGTTAATAGGCAACATTTTCCCTACACTTTAAGGGAAAAGTGTTTGTTTGTTTTATGTTTAGGCTACATTATATGAGAAATAGCCTAATGTTGATTTTTACAGGTGTAATCGTTTTAAACGTTTGTTTTATAGGAAAATGCATTGCATTTATTCTTTACCTGGATGTTTCTGAGACCCCAAATTGAGTTTAACTGTTCAACTGAACATGTAAGAAGACTTTTGAAACTTTATTTTAACATTTAACAGTTGTTTAAAGTCAGTTTTAACGTCATAAAGTTGAGAAAAGAACTCGAAGTATCAACCTGGTACTTGTTGTATTTAAGTGTTAGGAATGTGGGTCTTCAAGACCCAAAACAGAGCATGAGGTTTAATACCTTAAGATAATTTAGTCTGAGTATGTTGTTTTTACAGTATGTAGTACAGTATACTACAGCATAGCTTTACACAACCTCACTCTTGTGGACAGGACAGGACAGGACGTACATTGCATTTATTTAAATGTTTGGACGTCAGTGATGTTCATTGTCCTCCTGATTCTTTCCTTTTCCTGTTTGCTGGTGTGCATACTGTGTCACGCTGATTTGTTTGTTTCCGTCCTTCACATGCTGTACATTTACTCCCATATATAGAAATATTCTAAAAGTATTTCAAATCATTGTGGTTAATTTGATCCAAAATATATATTGGCATGAGTAGAATTTTAGATACACATATTTTAGTGTGTTTGAAATCTTTATATTTCAAATAAATAAATAATATGTTTGAGATATGCCATGACTTGTTATATTACAATTATTTATTTTATTAAAAAAAAAAAAAATATATATATATATAAAGGTTCCCACAACACTGACCTTTGTGATTTCATGATTGCTGTACTACATGGGTTTTTTAACAAAATCATTTTATAGAGATAGCTAAGAATTTCCATTTCCATTTGTATGATTCCTTGAAGTGTTAAAAATTATATTTTGTGTACAAATGTCTTCACAACGACCATCAATGGACAGTGTATATGTGTGTGTATATGAGATATTACAAAATTAGCAAGTGTTTACCAGTTTTATTTTAGTATTATTTATATACTGTTATAGTATTTATTATTAATACTTTGTATTAGCTTTATTTTGTATATTTTTTGCTTTCATTTTAGTTTTATTAATTGTTGTGTTTGTCATTTTTATTATAAAATTATTTTTTTTTATAAAAAAAAAAAAAATATATATATATATATATATATATAGATAGATAGATGTTGTTTTTTTATTTTTAGATATTTATGTTTTTTATTAAGTGCAATGCATTATATTAAACAATTTTGTTATTAATGTTTTTCAAATGTAACAATATATTTTTGTTTTTCCAAACTGAGTACAAATTGTATCAAAATACATGTTTTAAAATATAATTGCTTTTAGAAATAGTTTTTAATTCAACAATTATTTTAGTAAAAGTATCTAATTGATTTTAATTAAAATCAATTACATTTATTATATTTATTATATAAGGACAAAAAAAAAAAACAGCGCCATAATATTTGACCAATACATTTGGTGACTAATCAGAATCAAGTATTCCAGAAAGCCATGACTTCTTATAAGACCAAGATAGGAAGCAAATGTATAAAACATATGCAAGTTTTGTGAAGTTGACGGACGCGTTCTCAGATTGGCTTTGATTTGAAGACTGATGGATTGCATTATCAGGATGTGTTGTGATATG